CTCACAGAGTGACTAATATTGAAATTATAAAAGCTTTTTGTACCTGTATAAAATGTTCATATTTCACACGGATTTGTGTTTCTCATCAGTATCCTACCAATGTTATAAAAAAAAATGTTCATGTCATATATTTTATTTGTTCAGACACGTCTGATAAAACACAGAACATCAGAACGAGGGATAAATAGAAGAAAGTTATGATTGGCGTTCGATAGTAACAATGTGGTGTCTGATTGGTTATTTTATTAAATGCGTGCCACTGGAGAAGTAGTACTGATTGGTTGGTTTATCACCGCAAGTGATAACTAAACATGGCACGTGTATTTTTGGACCCAACATCTTCTGAAGCTGCCATTGTAATTCGAGGAAGAAAAAGATATGACATTAGCGACTAAGTGATAGCAGTAAACACTGGAAGAAAACTCATGTGTCTTGTCAATCAGACATGTTTCTATTCTTTTGGAAAACTGTAAGAAAAATTAAAACTCCGTGTCAAAAAAAAAGGGTATTTCATCGAGATTCTAACTTAAGCTTTCACACGTTCTTAAGTTATATTAATTACACACAAAAGTGTTGAAGAGAAAGATACGAAACCCTAAAACCCGAGCACTTTGGAAATGTGGAACATTCCTAAATCACGCGCAGTAATATCACAAAAAACAATGTCACTGGGACTGACATTTAGCTCCATATTTTTTTTTTTTCACAACATGTCACGAATTACCAAGGAGCTCCACGTAGGCGTATCTACGTGCAAGCATTATTTTACGATGCGCCGTGGCTATGTTTCTTTGTTACGTTTTTAATAAGGTTCATGCACTCATTTTATACGTTACTGAAACTAAGAATTCTCGCACATAGATATTATTAATAACTTTTACTATACCATATCTAATATGAATATTCTACAATGGGTGTTTAACAAATAATCATTTCAACAATACTAAAACTCGTACGGTAGAGACGGCACATGATTCCCGAACGTTTTAATAACTATTATTACCACTTGGCGCTAGAAGTAATTGTCGGCCATGGCTAGTGAACCGTAGGCGATTGGTTAGGCCTAGGCTGCATCGAAACACAAATCCTATATTCACGGCACCGACTAGCTGTCTGACAGTAACAAACTGGGTAAATAAAATCATATATTGATTTCTCAATAACTAACACACTGGAATCTAACTCACCTTTATTATATATATATATATATATATATATATACGGCCGAAACTGGTTCTTCAACTTTGAAGAAAATCCTAGACATTAAAACTACGCTCGTCGTGTTACTTTAACTTTATTTTGGCTAACTAACAATACAAATATTTAGAAAACGCCATACTTAACCAATGGTTCCTAAACTTTTTCGTGGAGTGATCCTTTGCCTATAAATATCACCCCATATAAAAATAATTCGAGAAATTGTTATATTAATAATAACCAGGGGGTGAAATCCTGCCGGTACTGAGTCACGGGACTTGTATCAGTTCCTTTGTCGTTTTTTTATTTTTACACGTAGATTTAAAAAAATAAACAGATCCACTTTATCTCTACTTTTTTCATCCCTGATAATAACAATTCTTTATTAAACCTTTCGTTAGTAAAATGGATTCAACAACACATCGAATTACTAAATCATAAAAATTCTGTTACGTCGACTGAAACGTGGAAACAGGGATATAACACTTTTAATGCGATCATAGTTTTTTTTTCCAAACGCGGTTGTGGACTAGTTAATCACAGTAGTAGTTCTGATTCAACATATTCCAATCGATTATCTTATATTCCACCAATAGAAGACATTTCGATTTGCAGAAGTATTAAAATGTGATGTTTTTTTTTAAAGAATTTTCTTAAATACATTTATTTTAATCTAATTGGATAAGATGTATTAAAATATGAAAAAAAAAATTCTGTAAATTTTACGGAAAAATCAATTTTTTTTCCAGGGTGCTGCGATCCCATTTCAATCCTTCCACGACTCGTAGTTTGGGAAACAGTATTTTTTTCTGGCTCTTGAAAAGTGCGCTTAAAAAAACTTATGATTTCAGGTCACTGTTATAAAGAACATAAGAAATATGAAGATCGTCCCAAACTGTCTGAAGCTTATTCTTGTAAGGAAGCCACAAAATAACGTGTTCTATTAGCGAAAACCAACCACCCGCGTGTTGGTTTATCTTTGCGATCAGCAGGCTAACAGTTTACCCCAGTTCCTACGTGCGTTCTGTACCTTGTGTTGTGATTACGTCACGTGAAAGCCTGCTTACTAATGGCTGTTTTTTTTACATGCTCGGCACACTTCTACCAGTGCAATCAGTTAACGCTATACATAAAATGATGTAAGATTAGCAGTGTTATCAACAAAAGTAGTTAATGGCAACATTAATGCGTATTACTGAAATGTTTGTCATGGCATTCCATACTTAATAAATATACGACTTAATACACTGAATCGCCAGGCTTTCTGGACCAAGTAATATTTCATTAGGCTGGTTGATAAACAGAATGACACATTTTTCAAGGAGAAGTAACAAAATAACATATTTTTTTAATGATTAAATAAAAAAAAAGGTTTACCACTGGTTTTAGTGTTTCGTTTTTATTTATTAATGATTTTTGTTTACAACTTTTGTGTTGCTTGTGTACGCAGGCCAAAATAGATATAGGATGGCACATAAAGTATCCTTTGACTTTTAACATAACTTTATAAGACTTAAACAGTTATATATGTTTCCATTACGACATTACTTGTATGTATTAGAATGAGTTATATATATGTTTCCATTACGACATTATTTGTATGTATTAGAATGAGTTATATATATATGTTTCCTTTACGACATTACTTGTATGTATTAGAATGAGTTATATATATATATATGTTTCCATTACGACATTACTTGTATGTATTATAATGAGTTATATATGTTTCCATTACGACGTTACTTGTATGTATTAGAATGAGTTATATATATGTTTCCATTACGACGTTACTTGTATGTATTAGAATGAGTTATATATATGTTTCCTTCACGACATTACTTGTATGTATTAGAATGAGTTATATATATGTTTCCATTACGACATTACTTGTATGTATTAGAATGAGTTATATATATGTTTCCATTACGACGTTACTTGTATGTATTAGAATGAGTTATATATATATGTTTCCATTACGACGTTATTTGTATGTATTAGAATGAGTTATATATATGTTTCCTTTACGACATTATTTGTATGTATTAGAATGAGTTATATATATATGTTTCCATTACGACGTTATTTGTATGTATTAGAATGAGTTATATATATATGTTTCCATTACGACGTTATTTGTATGTATTAGAATGAGTTATATATATGTTTCCATTACGACGTTACTTGTATGTATTAGAATGAGTTATATATATGTTTCCATTACGACGTAACTTGTATGTATTAGAATGAGTTATATATATGTTTCCTTCACGACATTACTTGTATGTATTAGAATGAGTTATAT